TGATTTGTCTAATGTGAAGTGAATTATATGCTCCAGTTTGAATTTTGAAAGATCTTTTTGCTGAAGCTTCCAAAGCCCTTCAGAATAATATTTACAACATGTTTTATGCATTTTATTCCACAACTTGTTAAAAGTGATAGTGTTTGAATGAATAAATCCACCTTATATATAGTGATGGATATCCAACAAATTTAAGTTGCAAATATGGAATAATTTATAATCATACATATCTATATTATTTTCTTAAGGAAAATTATCAAGTAAGGGCCCCAAAACCTACCATGCAGATCACAATCACTGCTCATACATGCATGTGTGTGCCTTTATGAACAGTGATGTTTTCGGTGAGTGATTTAAGTGCAGGAATTAGAATAACCTACAAAGATACTCTGGATTTCTAGTTTTTAAGGTTTAAGACCGGTATAATGGCTAACATTGGTCAAAGTATACTTGAGCTAATTATAAGTGTATGATTTACAAGATTGGAGTGATAACGAGTGATGAACAGAATGATTGCAATTGAGTTCGATGGTGCGTACATTCTAACCTATTCCCGTGAAGTGGGGGTCTTAGGTGATGGATTCATTTAATAGAACATTCAGCCAGCCCAAGATAAGGTGCGTGTTCTTAGGGTTCAATGAATCATTGGACTTGACCGTGAGTTAGTCTCTGGCTACAATAACATTTCCAGTATTTTGTTTTCTCCTATACTTTTCTTTTCATTTGTAAATACATCTCCTCTTTATTCTGTAACTGGAAGAAGAGTACGTAAGTTTTACATAAAAAAAAAAAAATTGTTGAAAAATAAATTTTATATTCAACTGATGTCCCATTCATTTACCTTATTTTGTACTAGTTTGTTCTCGTATAAACAACTTGAAAACTTTACCAATTGAAAAAAAAAAAGTTTACAAACATGCTAATATATATAATCTACCTTTTGCGCACTCATCAACAACCACAGATCACACTGCTAGTTATTAACTATTTAGGAGTCTTATCAGTAAAAAATAAAGTGGTAGCAACTGTAAGGAATGCAAAACTAACACTTATTCCTTTTATTGGATTATCTGAAGTCTTTTACAGTGACTATACCTATCATATTTTTAGGTGAAACATGTGTGATTGTCCCCGACTTGTCTTGTACTTTTGATAAAGTTAGATTTCCATGTTTCCTAGCGTGCACCTGTAATAGATATGAAATTTATTACCTCACCGCCGAAAAGGTTATACAATTTATCCCTTTCTCAGGCGTAACTCTCAATTTTCCTTTTCTCTACTACTTGTCATGCAAGTTTCGTTTGGTTAATGATTTGCATATACCTACCTTACAAGATTTAACGACCCTAACGTTATACAATTCGAAGATTGCAGGATAGGAAGCAGCAACGAAGATACAAGGTATATAAAGAGCTTCCTTTGTACCGCATAATACTATGCTAGATATATTTTTATGGATAGCAACTTACAGACAAATATAGCTTAAAGTTGATTTAACTTTTTAAGGCATATTCTTATCTTAAGGCATGCATATGTTGTTGCTGTCAAACAAGCTCTCATATTTTCTTCGAATGAAATTTCCAATTGCGGTCTTAGAGATGCCAAAATACGAGAGGGTACTACTGCAGATGAGATGAGATGCTTTCTTTGAATGGCTTAACTTGTTAACTAAATAACGTCATACACAGAATAGAGAATATGTGACAAAAATAGCTGAACTTTTCTTTTACTCCAAAACTTGAAATACAATATGCCCTTTGGTACTTGTGAAGCTCAAAAGCAAGACAAGACCATTCGAATTTCTATCCGTTTTATCTTTTTATCCTTTTCCACTGTGAAAGAGAAGAGGGACTAGCTAGGGATAGATAGATAGATAGATAACTGATAAAGGTGAAAGGGTCCAAGATATTTTAAGGCCTGACATGCATGCTCCAGAGGAAGTAGCAGTAGTAGCAGTAGTGTTGGATTGGCACAGTTGGTTCGTACGTCTTTCTAATTTCTATGGTTCCAAAAGCTCCTGTGGTCAAGTTGGAGACAAACGTTTGCGGTGCATATGAGAGTAGTTAGCAGAAAAAGTTGGTTGAGGTCTCTGCTCAAGGTTCCTTATGTACTTGAACTCTAGGGGCTTTTATTTAACAAAGAGATAAAGATGGGACCCAAAATTGTTCTCTGAAAAAGAGAGTTTGATTGACTACTACATGTGTCTACATTGACATGATTTTGATATGTAAGTTTAAGCTACTAGTTAAAACTTAAAAGGACGCGGAAAAAACAAAAGATATGTAACCCACACGACCACTAACATCGTACCTCACGATTACTTATTATTGAGCTGTTTTTCTTTTTTCTTTCTTCTTTCTCTATCTTAAGTTTTGAATCACTCGTGAAGAGTAGAGTCCTCCTCGTGGCTCATGTGTAAGCAAAAATGGTGGTATCCGGTCCTTTTTGGCAGAACAATGTTTGGTGCTTTTTGAAGAAATGTGAGTGTCCCCACAAGAGCATTTTCCTTTGTGGCAATAACACCCTATTTGCTTTATGCCAAGCTCTTGGGTTCTAGGCACTTTCAACTTTAACAAAGGGAGACAAGTTGAACGGTCTTTGTGAGTTGGGATGGTCCTAAAGTGTGAAATGCACGGTGCAAATTAGTGGTGACGAAATTGAAATCACCAATAGATGTAAGACATTAATGGTTAAATCCAACTATTATCATAATCTATTTCGGAGATTCGGTGTATCACAAAAGTGCGATGTCGAGAACGGCATCCATCTGTCCTACAACTTGCTCATCTACCCATTCCCAGCTATTAGTATCGCTTGTCCCAAACCACACCTCTGAAAAAAAATTTGTTTTCTTTTTCAATTTTATCACAATATCTTGTTTTTAATCAATTCAGGCCTTCATATTATTTTCAAACTCATCCTTCCACTCCTACTGTAACACTTGAGTACAAAATATTCTTATTGAATTAGATACTCAAAGTGTAATTTAGCTAAACCATAGTTTTTTCAAATTATTCCAATGAAGTAAGAAGTCTTAAATTTTCTTTATAAAAGTAAAAAAACATAAGATAGCCAATTCGTGGGATCCTGCGCCATTAAAAGTGGTTTCACATCACCATTTTCTTTAATTATTTCCTTCATTTGTGTGATTTCAATTTAAACACGCTTAGATTATTAAGAATAACGTATTTGAAACAACCCATGTTTAAGTTTAGGCCATATTTCTTAAATCTTATGTTTATCGGTATCAACTTCTTTCTTGTCAACATCACTGATATTTAAATATCATATTTTTTATTAATTTACAGTCATATTTTATTTCAAGATTTATTTTTTCTTGAAAGATTAATTCTTGTTAGACAAAATCCAGGTTAATACCAATGGATTTACTTTTTAGCGATGGTGAATGAACAACTTTCCAATATTTTTTCCCCTAGAACCCTAATATAGGGGCACTAAAAGTTCATCTTTGACATTGTATTTATGATTCACTTTAAAAATTTAATAAATAAAAAAAAACTTTTTTTATTTTATAAATAATTGTTTATATAATCAATTTTACTCAATCTTAATTTTATCTTTCGAAATCCTAAATCTAATAGAGATTCAGATCACCTATCAACAATGCAAAGTTACAAAAAGAAAGTAAAATAACCTTAAAATAGACAAAATATAACTCATTGATCTCTAGAAAGAAAACACTTAATTTACTCCTAATTTTGATATTATGTAAAATATTGAATAGTAAACCAACATATAAAATTACTAAAAGAACAATTCAAAATGTCCAAGATTAAATTTACACCAATAAATTTTATATCTTAAAAAAAACAGAAACTTAAGTAACAGCTTAAATTTACACCAACACCCTTTATAATTTTTTCTTTTATCTAACAAGTAGTTATTAAAATGAAAAAATTAAAATAATAAAAAAAAACGCTTAAAATCTGAACCAGTTTTGTCATCAACTTTTGTGACATATATACTTATTCAACATTTCCCTGAAATGGGTTTAGGTGTTCTCCAACCCAACATCTATATTTAGGGTTCTCCACTTGTACATATCTATTTTTTATCTTTTTCAACTTGAGGGCCCACCCAACACCTCATAAAATTTGGTTAATGGATCCCACTAATCTCATTTTAAGAATAAAAATGTTCGGCACTAGTAAAACAAACAAGGTACATGATAAAAATTGAAGTCTTATATTTCAAGGAATTAAAAAACTAATACATAGACCCACTTCAAAGTTAAACAACCCTTGCTTATAAAAGTTACCGCTGAAATGGTGGTTCTTGCTAAACAATGGTGCTTATAAAAATAAAAATAAAAAAGGTTAAGCACCTGCTGTTGCGGATGCCCTTAGACCCCCTAACAGACCGACTAAACCAATCCGATTTTAATCAAATGAGGCATACGTCATAATTTCAAGAAACATTAAATATACATCTTCTTACAAGACACGAGAGATAATTATCAAGGTTGCATTGATTTGTCTATCTAGTATTATTATAAAAGGGTATTACGATAAAACTTAAAAGAAATATTCACAAATTCAAACTGCTCCAGTGATTTTGTCTGCAAATTCAGGCGTGCCATTTCCTAAAATTAAGAGATTTGACTGTCTAGATATAGCTTCGGCAGCCTCAAATCAAATGAAATAATCACGCTAGCCAGAGAATTAGAATAGCAAACCAGGTAAGAGATACTCAGACTCTAGATTCTTGAAAAAATATTCGCCATTCTGTAGTACAAATTAAGAGCTAAAAACCCAAAATCTCGGTATGGAGCACTGTTCATGCAAATGTCAAATCAGTTAAACTATCCCACGGACAGGACCCAAAAATACCCAAAGTGAGAAATGTATAAAATGATTCATGTCCTACGGTCATAAATACCCTTCAACTGATATACAATCTTCAAGCCTTGTGTAGTATTTGATAAATTATAAAATTTCTGTATTAATCATAATAGCTAATTAGGGATATTGACTCCATCTTCATGTTGTACGAGGGCCATTCCCTTCTCCATCCCCTGGTTTTTCTTCCACTTTTTGATTCACCGGAGGGGTGGACTGCTTTTCTTCAAGTGTAGGTGCCCTCTGGTCTCTCTGAACAACTTCTCCAACAGGTTCACTCGGGATGCATGGTCTCCAAATTATTTCGTTGCCCACATCCATAAGTGCAATGCCCTTTGCAGTCAAATCAGTCCTAATCTTATCACTTTTGTGGAAATCCTTACTAATCCTAGCTTGAGTTCTTTCTTCTATCAAATGTAGCAATTCACCTTCTGCCAGCCCTGCTCTTTTCAATGCCTTATCTTTCAACTGCTGCAGAACCTGAAGAACAAATAACAATAACAATTTTTTAACATTTGCAATGGCTTTCCGAAAGAGTGTGTCTTTTAGATTATATAAAACAGGCAATGAAGCTCGTGTTAATAAAATGAGTCACCTCCGCGTAAGATTTAGAGGACAATAACCCTAGTACGTCCAAAACTTTTCCAACTTCTTTCTCAACTTCCAGCAAGGATTGAATCAATTGCAATTGTGCTCTTTTCTGCATTTTCTTCTGGAAGATAGACAAAATATATTCGTAAATTACTGGTGCATTTCCAACACATAAAAATGCATGCAGCAGCACCCACGTATGCAATACAAAAAATTGGTTCACGAACCTTCAACATCTTCAATGAACTGTTCACAAATTTCAAGGCCTCTTGGACGGCACCAGTTAGTATCACTGGCGTCTGCAAGTCATCTGACATTTTTGTTTGAAACTCAACACTCAACTTCTTAATACATTCCTTGGCAGCCTCATTAATTTGAGGTACCTTTTCATTCTTCTCTGATCCGTCTTGAAGAAATGGTGACAAAGCATCTTTACAATCTTGAAGAGTCTAACAACAAAAAAGAAAAAAATCATTCTCATAGTTTACGATATCGCAGAAGTAAAAAGAAGCTGTTCTGAACAATTAAAGCTACCAAAATAGCGCCACTGTACATATGTACCTTTAATACTTTATGTCAATACAACTAAATCATAGCAAAAACTGTGGTAGAGGTGAGAGAAATTGTTTATGCAGTAAGAATACCGTCCAACCTTGATAAATCAAACTGTGTTTCATGTAAGTTATAACAGGTACTCCGCAGAAATGAACCCGAATAATAAGACTCACAAGAGTCGTCCATGAAACATTAGAACATTTAATAAACACTCGGGATTTTCATTACATTAGTAAGTACCTTCATCGTCAAAAACACGAAGTAGTGGGAAAGAAGCACTGGCAATTCTACCTCCAAGACACAACTTGCTTAATTTACATAGCAGAAACTTGGTAGGATACAGAATTTAATCCATTCACAATACAGATGACATTCCGCAGACATAACACCAAATAAAAACATAGTATAAGATTACATAATGGAAATATATCAACCTTGAGAGATGAACTAGCCCATTAACTTCTAAGCAACAACACACAATTCCTAATACAAATTATTTGGAGGATGCTCACCTGAAATATATAGTAAATAGCATCTGACGAATTCTCCAGCTGTGAGATAGAGTAATTTAGTGGAGATCTGTAATGGGCACTAATCAAAAAATGTCTCAAAGCAAGCGGATGATAACGCTCAGTGATCTGCAAGAAAAAAATATCATGAAAGGCATGCACAAGAAATCTTGTAAGAATTTCTATCATGCAAAAACCTACAAATATTTAAAAAGAAATAAAAACCATCATTAACAAGGAGAATACAACTTATAAGTTGGCTAAGAACTGACCTGGCGAATAGTGAAAAAGTTGCCTAAGGATTTTGACATCTTTTCATTGTTATTTGTGACATGCCCATTATGCATCCAATAACTGACATGGCTCTCATTGTCCGCAGCCCAGCTCTGTGCAATCTCATTTTCATGATGAGGAAATATTAAATCAATTCCACCACCATGGATATCAAATTTATGAGTTAAATAACAAGCACTCATTGCACTGCATTCAATGTGCCACCCAGGTCTTCCAGGACCCCAAGGGCTGTCCCAGCTAGGCTCACCGGGCTTAGCAGCCTGCAATTTTAATATGAGGGATTTCAAATGTTAACAAAAAATATACAAAATAACTGGAAAGAGTTCTCGAACCTTCCACAAAGCAAAATCAGCTGGGTGACGCTTTCTTGAGTCCACGGCTACTCGTTCGCCAGCTCTATTATGTTCTAACTTTTGTCCAGACAGCATGCCGTAATTTGGGCATTTATCAACAGCATAGAAAACATCACCATCAACTTCATATGCATAACCATTGTTGATAATCTGCATAGTACATTAATGAATAATGACTAACCATCTTTTGAATTCTAAATTAATTCCTTATAATTTATAAATAAAGACAAATTTAGCACAACCAAATCTAATGAAATTGTAATTTTTCATGATTCAACTTCTACACCATACTTTAAATGAAAATGACATGCAAACTCAATTAATATGCTTCTTGTTATATTAAAAAATAAAACTGCTACTTTGTTTGCGCTTTGTCTCAGGTTCTAAAATTCCTATGCAGATCTTTGAAAACAAGAAATAATGAGAAAATATAAGGTGACACTATGCAAATGAGACAAAACAGGAAATTTAAAATAAGAAAAAAAAATCTCAAAGCTGTGAATTTGTTATCATTTTCAATCTCATTAATATGTTAGTGGGAGATCGCATGCAGCTTCTTTGCTTCATATCTCAAAGTATTAAAAATTTAAAAATAACTGGCCTTTTAATTATTTTGTTTTTCTTTCATAGTTCCTTCTTCATTTGAATCTATTCAGTAACAAAATAATGAGTTAAATTAACATAACAGGATACATTATATGTTAAATTGCTGGAAGAATGAAGAAAGAGTAGCTTTTTTATATAATATTATATAGAGATATATAAAAGGTTCGCTAGTTTAGGGACGCAGGTGAACATAGAATCTAAACTCATTCTCACTAGTCACAACAACAATAAGAGTAAACCCTATCCAAGATTCTAGTAAAAACTACACTACATAGCGTAACAGTGTATACAGGAAGTTTATTAACACATAATTACTAGCAAAAGTAGGCAGTATTGAATAATTTAAACAGCATGCAAAGACTGTCAATCGGAATTTAATTGAAACATGTGGATGAAAAGGTTTCTTTTCAAGCAGATTCCCTTTAAATTAAAAAAAAAAAAAAAAAAAAAAAAGCATAAGACAGCAATCTTGTAGCAAAATTAAACCTGAACTATCATCTCCTTTATCTCGCCAAGGTGTTCAGAAACTCGAGGTTCCTTAGATGGTGACTCACACTGAAGATCAGCCATATCAGCATTATATTCGTCACAAAAACGGTTACTCAACATCAATGGATCCTCCCCGGTCTCATTTGCTCGCTTAATTATCTGCAGCAATTCTGATATTAACAGTCTGTAATAAACATGAAAGAATCATAGAAGAAACTCATGTAGAATACAAAATTTCAAGATTTCGGGTAAAATTTAAAATTTATTTATTAAACATTAAGGAAATCTTAGCCATTTGAGAGTATTATTCTCAATATATTATTATATATAGAAAAAAATGGGGTGGGTCAGTTTTTAATACTACTTTACAAAGAAAACCAAACAATGAATTTTTCTTAACCCATTTTTACCTCCATACCAAACTGACATAAAAAGGAAAGATCATGGAAAAAATGACAACATTTATTAAAGAAAGGAAGACTTCAGGAACATATTAATAAACAATAGCAATACTCATAATATAATATGCACTACCTCCACCTGATCTACCAGATAAGGGAAGCATTCAACCAATACGACCATCTCCACAGCCATTTTACTTAACTTGGAGAGGCTACTACTACATAAATTATGATGATTTTATTTATTAACACAACATATTTCGATCATTTCGATAGTATACATTCTTACAGTTTCATATTGCAATTGTGTATCATTCACAGACCCAAATGGACATAAACTAGGAGTGAAAAACAACCAGAATCATGTGAAGGAAAGAAGGATGAAAATTACACTAAACATAAAAACAGGAGAAAATCAAAGAAGACTCGTCGCATCAAAAATCGCAGCTGGATGGTGAAAAAAAATCTAAAAAACAGGGATTCGCCGGCAACAGTTGCAACAAGTTATAATGTTACATTACAGCAACAACCACACTGGTAGCAGAGACATTGAATTTATCCTCACCTTGTCATCAACATCAGTGAAATTCCGCACATATGTTACCTCATAGCCCAAGTGTCTAAGGTACCTACAAGTTTTCATGTTAAGCAGAGTACAAACCGCGTGTCAACTCTCAATCTTCACATCTAGAATAAGGAAATTAAACCGAGAAGAGCGAGCATAAAATTTTCAAAAAAAAGTCTTCCAATTTAGCCTTTCAAATGCTGAGGGATAATCGAATACCTAAAACTACTTAAATCTGGCTAATAATAACAGCCAGACATACCAAATTGAATCCAATTGATAAACAAAAATAAACAAGCCGAAAACGAACTGATGCCAGTCCACGCACTAATTAAAAGCAGAAAAGACGGCATCTGATGCAACTTTACAACCTTGTGATAGATTCCCCATTTCATCGGCACAGAAACAAGTAGATTGAATTGCAGCATGGCGAGGAAACAAAATGAGGAGGAAAAGAGGAGAATGAATGATGAAGAAGTACCTGTAGAGGATATCGAAGGAAACGGCGGCGCGAGCGTGACCGAGATGGCTGAAGTCGTACGCAGTGACTCCGCAAACGTACATGGAAACCTTGCCAGGGATTTTGGTTTTGAAAATCTCTTTCTGCTGAGTCATCGAATTGTAAATCCTGAAACCAGTATGCTCCTCCTCCGCCATTGCTAACTGCAGACGACAAAAACTCTCTCACACACTTCAGCTGTAACCCCCGGTACAGACCTAACTATTTTCTTCCTACCCACTCTCCTTCATCATTTACTTTGGATTTATAAATAATATAAATAGTATTAATAATAAATAATATAAATATAAATAATAAATATTCCATATTGAATTGGGATATTTTTTAGGATTTGTTACTGTTATGTTATTGCTGATTTCGTTTACTTTCATTTTTGTTATTTTTTTTATTCCGGCGTTACGTAGTTCTTTTTTCCTTAAATTTACGTTAAGCACAATATGGACTTTTCCATCCCAACAATATTGTGTCACGTAATTCACATACTTTATTTTTACCTTCTTTTTATTTATGCATCATCTTAATAAAATAAAACTTGTAATTGAGAATATTATAAAAAATAAGAAAACCTTGTACATGAGGAATTGGTTTCTTTCATCTTCTCTGGTTTGACAGTCATTACTTTGTTTAATTTAAATATTTATTAAATAAAAATAACAAAATTATTATGTTGTGTTTTTAAGATGATAAATAATTTGAAATAAATTAAAACGTAAAACTATCGGATTTTAATATTAAGGAATAAAAATATATAGTTATATGCCAAGTAACTTTTGATTTTATTAATTAATTACTTGATAGATTGAACAAATTAATATTTTTGATAAAGTAGATTATGCCATGATAATACATGATCTTTTGTTTCGAATCAAAGCTTGTTCTTTAATTATTAACCAACGACTATAATTTAGCATGGGTATAAATTATGAAAAATATAACCTTGAATAAAATTAACAAAAATACCAAAATAATCAAATATTTTTATTATTAAGATATATATTATTGGTGATTAATATTGTCATGGACGATTACATTTGTTATTATTATCTTTAATACACATTCTGTAAATATGCTAATTGGTCTAAAATTTTGTAGACAATACCAATTGGCCTAAAATCTAACAAGGTTATCAAAATTGATAATTTATTAAACTTATGATACCTCTATAAACATTACTCATAAATTAGTAAGAGTTTATTTAAAAAAAACTAAAATACGAATAATAAAATAATAATTTGATATTTTAATTTCGCAATAAAGTAGAATAACAAATTATTGTATCTCAAAAGCCCATGCATTACAGTAGAAAATTGAAGTAACAAAAGCAATGTATCATTTGGTTTATTATATTTTAATTTAAAAAAATTATATCATATATTATACTTTATTTAATTTATAATTATTATTTGGTTATTATATTATATTATATTATATATGTTATGCTTTAAATTTTTTTAATACTATTATATTATTTATTCTTCTTCAAATTATTATCATTATTATTATTATTATTATTATTATTATTATTATTATTATTATATAAATAATTGATCTATATCTTCTTCTTTTTCATTTTTTAACAAAGTTCCTGAAAATATAAGGCCCAATAAATCTTGAAAAAGACACATTTGTCCAAGTACTTGTATAATTTCTTTCTGCAACTCATAATATACATAAAATGATAATTTGAACCTTTATCTAAGAATTTCTTGCACCCGTTGTCCATATTATTCCACTCGTCCGCTCTTTTAAGAGCATGTGTTTTCACTCTCCCAAGTTAAAATTTTCATGATTTATGCTTTGAATTATAGTCATTCCGTAATATTTAAACATGTTATGAGTCAAAATAGATTTTTCATTTCATTGATAGAAACATATTTTGGATTGAAACATATTATATTCTGGATTGTATTTAAAAAAAAAATGTGTATCAAATTATTCACTATGAAAACATAACATGAGTTTACTGGATTATTTAATTATATGTAATCATGTTTTTAGTATTCAAGTACTTACGTTATATTCATGGTTTTCAACATTTAAATTGGATCGATTATGTTTGTATGATATAGGTTCAAGTAAGATTAATGAATTTGAATTTAATTTGGACAAGAACGTTAGGAGAAGTAACATAAAAAAAAAAAAACTCTAATAACTATATCATAAATATTTACATCTCCTTGTTAACATAATATCAAAATCACATGAGTTATAAATGTTAATATTGTAAAATTTAAAATTAATTATTTTTAATTGTAGGATTACGGTGAATTGAAATCTGTGCGAACTGTGACCACATTTTAGTTATATGGATTGAAAACATTTTTAAGTGTTAACTATGTCATCATAGATAAATAATAACTATCTATAGTTTGACTAGCGGCTTTCATTTATTTATAAGTGAAATAATTATTACATTAAATATCTTTATTATTGCATGTATAAATATTGTGGGTCAATGTTATACTTATATTACTGGACATTCAGAAATTGAGATGTTGGTAAAACTATAAAGGATAAAAACGAAATATTATAAAGGTAAACATGTTCTTTTTAATTTGTTTTTAGAAGTTGATGATACTATTTTGTACACATACGATGAACTAACTCGAATTTACTTAATGTATTTTTAGTATATTATAATTTGATTTTTTTTAATATTAATACATTTTTTTATAATTTTATAAATACTTATAAATTATTATTAAAGTGATAAAAATAAAATTTTTATATTTTTATAAAATATCACAAAATTGTTTTTATAATTTATATATAAATTAATTTTAATATATAAATTTATATTGTGATATAAATTAAATAATTTATATTAAATTATATTATAATTTATATTTATATTTATTTTACTTATTATAAATAATAAATATATTTTTGTTAATATATATTTTATCTTATTATTTATTATTTATTTAATTATATCGTCTTCTCTAATATTTTTATTTATCTTTTTTTTTCACAATTTAAATAATCATATTTTTCGTACTTTTCTTTTTCTTTTTCTCTCCTCAAACCAAATTGTTAAAATCTAAATGAAAACAAACTTAAAAAAAAATTGCAGAGATATCTTACCAATTTAGTAAATATATATAATTTTTTATTATTTATAAAAGTTATAATTTAATTATATATATATATATATATATATATATATAATATAGTATATTATCAAAATGACTAAATAATCAATAAAGAAATTATAAACTATAATTTTCAAAAGTAATTATTTTGAACACAGAACAGTCATTTAATGAATAAACGATTGATTATTAATTTATAAATATTAAATACTTTATTTATTTATTTTGACAGTTTATTAAAATATGAAGAGAAATATCTTTATATAATATAAATTAATAGAGTAATATATTCCGATAACATTTCATTAATCGCATTCAGACTTTGTGATTGCATCACATATCTCCCTACATAATGAATATACGGCTGAGCTAATCAGTTAAGGGACTATGAGTGCTTGGAGAAGGAGAGGATTGCAGAGACAAAGGCCATCAACACATGAACATTTAGGACAAGTTGGACAAAAATGTTTACACTCTCGATCTTTAGCACAGTACCTCTTAGATACTGAGTATTGTGCTTCACATTTTGTCATATCTGCATGCGAAACAATGCATAGTTGAATGTAACAAATCAAATATATGAAAAATGCTCGAAGAAGAAATCAGTACATGATGCATAGAAGAGGATATTGACTCGTTATAAAAGAGGATATTGATTCATTAGAATGGAAATAAAACACGATTTGTAACCTGAGACCAAGATCAAGAAAGCCAAAACGAATGTCAATGTGAGAAAGCACTTCCTTGAATAGTACATTTTGTCTTACCCAGAACACGTACTTCAGACAATGTGTATGAGAAAACGATGAGCCTATCCATTCCATTACAAAGGATTTTCATAAAGGTCTATGCATTAATTTTTAATCATAAATATAAAGGATTCTTTAATGACTTTATAAAATATAAACAAAACTTTAATAAATACAAATTTGACAGTTTATTATTGTGTTAAATTATCCATTTTAACAGATTCGTTCTATTATATTTTTATGATGTCACTTCAAATAATATTGAAGGTATAACATGAAAAATAATTTCTTGTATGAAACAACAAAATTTTAGTTATGGTTTATTATTAAAAATATTATTATTTTTTAAAGATTAACATCTATATTTCTATAATCAATCTTATAAATAATATATTTAAAAAATTTATTAAAAAATATCAGTCTATTTGCTGACACAGATCTATTTAATATTCATATACAATTTTTCTTTCCTTCCTTTTTATAATTTTGTTTTTTTCTCCCTTTTCATTTTTTTTATTCATGTACTTTGTTTTTTTCTTCTCTTCCCTTACACTTTTTTTTTAAATTAAAATTACTATATTCAAATTTAATTGAAATATTCTTGAGTAATTTTTTAAAAATTAATATTAAAATTTTTAAAAATATTAACTAATTATATAAAATTATGATAACAATAAATTATTTTATTTATTATAATAATTATATTTATGATGACATAAATAATTAATTTAAAATTATTTTGTCATAATAAATTAATTATCATTTAATTAAAAAATATTAAATATTTATAAGTTAAATGTATCTTTTATTTAATAATTTAATTTAATTATAATTAGATTGAATAATAATGATTAATGAGATTGAGTAATTTAAAAAATTTATTAAAAATTTACTTTAAAATAAATTTTTTAATAATATTAACATAACAATAATATTTATAATATCTCAAAATTATCATATAATATTTTGTTAAAATCATAATATTTCTAAACAATTTAAATATTTTATTTTTCAAAAATAATAAAAGATCCATTTTATCAAACTTCAATATGATATTTTTAATTAATAGAATAAGAGAAAAAATAACAAGAAATAAATCAATAGAAAAAAAATTATTATTGAATTTTGTATATAAACAATATACCGAGTAAATAAAATTACACATATTTTATTTAAATATATATTTTTAAAATATATTATTAATGTGATTGATTATATATTCTTAATAAAAGAAACTAAAAATTTGTATATTTTTAATAATAGTAATTCAAAAAATATAAATAAAAATTTATGATGTTATATATTTTTTTAGATAATTTATTATTAATTTTTCTTTATTAAAATAAATAAATCGCTACTCTTCGAATTCAACCACTTTAAATTAGACTCCATCAAATAAAATTAATTGAATAATAAAATAGATCAATGATATTGATCCATTTTCTGTTTAAAATCCATCAAACTATCGTTATGTTTTAATTAATTTTATTTTTTAGTTCTGAAAAGTAGTTTAAAAATACATTTTCAAATAGGTAATTTTAATAATTATATGATAATAAAATAGGTAATTTACTGTAATATAAAAGTATTGACAATTATTGATAAAAATAAAAATAAAAACTTTTTATAATTTTTTTAAACTTAAAATGTAAAAAAAAAAACAAATTAATTATGAAATAATTACTTTAAGTTTTAAAAGTTAAAAAACTAAAAATTGTCCTTAAAAATTATAAACAAACAAATCCTTAATCTATTTCCCGTATATCGATAATTTCTGCTTGAAACACACACTTTTATTATTTTCATATTTCTTTATTTTGCTATTTATAGGTCGTGTTCTTGTATCACCTTTTTTCAACTTTATACCACATTCTCAGCTTTCCATTTCATGCTTTTTAAATAACTAAAATTAATTTTCGGAGTATCTATTTTAATGTCATATTTATGATGTTTATTTATAACAAATTCAGTTATAATTGACTTTTTTTTTCCATCTTTATTTACCAATTCAATTATAAAAAGACTTTTACTCATTCATATATATATATATCAACCTGGAAAAAAGTGGACTTAAAAAGTTGAAAGTGCAAAAGTTGAAGGTAGCATGAACTTTTGTACAAAGAAAATTCAAGTTTGACGAGTATGCCTTTATATTGGTCTAGAAACTATGGACTGATTAATAATTAATATAATTGTCAAAATATTTATTGCGTTCCCATATGTTTTTTAACATTCTTTCCTTATTTAGATATTATTCTAACACACAATAATTCATACATTTTTTAGTATTAAGATAATTTATACATATATTTGTATTTAGAGATAAGTTTAGAAGAATAGTTTTAGAAGAACTGTTTAAACAAATAAATTTTTAGGAGATTATAATATATTTTCTTAAAAAGATTTTAAGAATTTTTGTTTTTAATACAGTGAAATATTTTTTAAAGATAAAATTATAATAGATGGAAATTTTAAAGCAAGTAATATCTTAAATATAAAGATTGATCTTAATTATGTTATCAGTTTGATATACATTTATTCAACATACATCATACATTGAAGATAAATTATTATTCTATTTATATATAACCATTAATCTTCAACTAGTAGATTATGTTCTAATATATTCATAAATTTAATATTGTGTAAGAATTAATATTAAGATAATTTATATACGTCATTTTTTTCAATATTTTTAATATTAAATTTTTAATGGACTAAAACTCCACCCAATAATATAATAATTAACTATAATGATATTATATAATAAGAATGAAATCAACCTATCTGTGATGTTATTATTATTTTTTTAATTAAAATTTCAATACAAATAATATTATAATTCTAAGATGTTATAAGAAAAAAATAATCTTATTATTAAATGCAATATGTGTAACTTTTAATATATATTTGACTTTAGTGATTAACTTAAAAATATTTGAAGTTGATTAAAGATAAAAGTGTTCTTCCTTTCCCACCAAAGTAACTACACGAGTACTCGTACTTTTATTTATTGTTATAATAATGATAATACCAATGCAATAATGATATCTCCCTTTCGTAGAAAACTGCTCCCATCCTTAGCAAGGTGGTCTATGGTTATGAATTTCACATTTCTCTTTTTAGTATTGTTCTTTTCTTTACCTTCGCAGAGATATAAGGTATGTCATTATAAAGTTGCATGTGATTTTTAACTAATCACCATGAATTGCATTTCATATCACTTTCTTAAGGGAACAAATTATCATCACTTGTGTTGTACTAACACCAATATTGAGTAGAATTATAAATGATTTTTAAACTAAATAAAAATAGTAATTTTTTATTAAATAGATAAGAAAAGAAAAAAAGGTTTGGTGAGATCATGTTTTCCAAACGGAAACCAACTGTACATGTGAATATATAATATGCTTACAAAACTATTTGAAAACAATTTGTTAACTTGCTTTGCCTCTCTTATTTATATTATTCAAAAGGGGAAAAAACGTGACAATGATATTCAAACAGACAATCCCCAACCCTAAAAAAACACTAACGTAATAAAACATCTATCATATATGCCCATCCATTCTGTCTCCTTTTGAATAAATTTTAAAAATTAAATCTTGTTGCATAATAATGTACGATATATAATATGTTCACCATCTTATATGATCTCAGACGAAATATTGAGTCTATGATACAATCTTGATCTAAACCAGTGAAAAAAATTTCATTATTGGCTAGGATTTCCTAACAATAATAAATACCATATTGTTGATAAAACAACAATTTTATAAATAAGAAAAAGAAGAAAAAAAAATCAATAGACATCAAAAGTTCACTTCACTCCATGCATCACAACTCATTATATTAATAAATTTTCTGATCAATAATTTAACAATATACAGAAGAATTTGTTGTATATAAACCATGAGAGTAATCCGTTACTCTCGTCGTTGAAAATTAAAATAAGAAAAACAGATGCGAAAAGAAATGAAACAATCTTTGTGAAGGTAAAAATAACAATTTAAAAAAAGAAGAAATGAATATGAAGAGCTACAGCTATTCCTGCCTCTGCATTCTCATCTGCTGATAGAAACTCTGGATGAACTTCTCAGCCTTCTGATCAACCGATTCACCTTCCTCCCCTGACCCACACTCAAACAAATCCTCTGCTACTGTTTTTTCATCTCCAGTTTCGAAGGGATCCAATGCGAGCTGGCACTCCCAACTTCGTTCTACTTTCAAGTTCCCCAAGCACCAATAGAGATACAAGAAAGAACAGAAACCTGGGTGGGCCCTATTCTTGAACTGGTTTCGATGGTAATAATGAGGAATAAGGGGAGTGGTTGAAGCGGAGAACTGATACTCTCCGTAGTCGTAATGCTTCAGGAGCTTCAATTCGTGACGCTTCTTGAACCTCTTGAGGAGCTTTGGGAAGATGGGTTTTCTTAATTTGTGGATGAGAAGAGAGAGTCGTAGGAGATGGAGCGAGACTTTGTGGAAAAAGGGTGACATTTTTGTGGGCATTTTTGGGAGGAGATGGAGAGAGAAAGAGAATTTGGTGGGGTTATCAATAGCAATAGCAGTACATGGTGAAGAGCGGAGAATTAATGCTTTTAAAGTTTGAAAAAGGTGGAGAAATCGGAGCCAAGCCAAGCTGTAAAAGATGTGGTCGGTTGTGTTCTGTGTTTAGTATATTGAAGGAATGTGCAGAACTAGCCGTTGAACCTCTCATGCGTAGGGTTTCCCTCCAAATTCACTTTTTCCTTTCACTTCACCTATGTATATATTTTTTTTCCTTGTCATCATATATCAGTTTTGAATTATCAATATTAAAGTTTATAACAAATTTATGATTCTAAGTATATAAAATAATTTATATTTATGGCAAATAGTTTATATCATGATACAATGTTATTTTAAATATCAAGTTATAACTAAATCTGAAGATCACAATTGTTGTCAATTTTGAATCGGAAAATTATGATACTTAAAAGTCAATCCTTATTTTACAAATAAAATTAATCATTGAAATTCACCAGAAATATATTGTTTCCTTATATAAAATACAATATTTTCTCCAACAAATTGGAAATATAAATCAAAGAGATAGAGTTAATAATACTAATAGTTTATGTGGACAACAATCATTCATTTATGTGTTTATATATTTATTGATTTAATTAAGAAATTTATTATTATGATTATTATATAAATAGTTATTCTAGTGACACTGGTAAACATTGAGATGAGAATGAAAGGGAACGCAGTGGAATGGTTGGGTTGCGTGCGGCCGACAGAATCGGTGAATATGAATCCATTCGATCCTTGGTTTGTGTGGTGTTGGTATGAGATGACTTGTGTCATGTGGCATCATCAATCATCTGCACGTGTTTTCTTTTTTATCTTTTATTTAAAAACAAACCTCAACTGTTAATTGTTAAATGCAGGAGAAGGTGAAGAGAAATTCAGTGTTTATTTTAATGTAGAATTAGAATGTAACAAACCAGATAGAGGTTGTGATGTACCACGTGCGATTTGGCAACAGCTTCTTTTCTTTTCTTTTCCCTCACACAATCTCTTTCATATTCATTCTGCCATTTTTCTTTCCATTATAATATTGCATTCCACACACATCCTTTCACGTCTTCTTCGACAAATCCCTCTCCTAACTAACACCTTCAACTCCTGACTCCATAATTCTACAATGCTTTCCTCTTAATTTATGCTACCTTAAAATAGTATCATTTTATCATCTTATATATTAGATTGTTGTTTATTATCATCTATATATATTTTTTATTTTATTATTCAGTTTAAATTTATGTATACTTATAATTTAAGTTTATATTTTTTATTTTAAAAATAAATATTTTACATTTATAATTTATATTATGCCTTCTTGATATGTTATAATATATATATATATATATATATATATATAATATAGATTTATAAATATAAAAAAATAATTAAAGGAACAATTTTTTTTGTTATCTTATATGTTTAATAGTCGAGTTTTAAAAAAAATCATATATTAAAAATTATGATTATTAAAAATTGTAAAATATAGATTGCTATATTTTTTGAATGAGTGATTAAATTCTATTTAATTAAGTAAAATATTGTTGAAAATATCAATATAGTTTTTTTTTACTTTAAACTATAATTTATTATTTTCATTATAAAATTAAATAATGTTTAACTTAAAATATTTTTATTGAATATAATTACAGGTTATGTTATTTTTCAAATCAGGATGTACTATAACTGTCATATAACTCAGAAATATTAGGGATTTGAGATTTTATATTTATTTGAACTCTTATAAATACTTATACATAAATTGATCACATAATAAAAAAATTGAATACAGGTTAGAAGTTAATTGTATAAATTGTTTCAGGTGTTAAGATCAGAAAAGAAATTAAAATAATTGTACGATTCTGTTCCATTTAAATTATCAATTACGCCTTCAACTGTAACAACAAAAACACAAAGAATCTTAAATAAGTTTAGATTATATATTTATTTTTAAAAATTTTGAATCTGATGTGTTACCTACCATATGTCTTTTTAAAATTATATAATTTGATATCCATAAAAGGATAAAAGAATGATTAACTTACTACTTTGTTTTATTTATTCTAAAATTCTTCTAAGCTATTAGACTTATATAATATAATAATTGTTAATAATATTTTTTATATTATTATATAGCTATATAGATTTTTCCATATATATATATAAACAAGCAATACAACTGACCAAATGTTTAGAATAATTTTCTCTAACAAAAATCATAAATACGTTTTTTTTTTAATTATCTTCCTTATACTACATTTTTTAAGATAAATATGCCTAAATATATTAAATATCGTAATAATTAATTATTCTATCATATAGATTATTTCAAATAGTCACTTAACTTTTAGTTTAACATATAACTAAATTATTTTAAAATATAATAAAAAACATAATTTTTTTAAATACTATATTTAAAAAATACTTTTAAAAATTATTCCAACTCCTCAAATTAAATGTTACGAGACTTTTTTTTTTTTACCAATTTTCTTTTTTAATTTAAGAAATCAAAAACAAAATTATTCTAAATTTTCCCTTATTAAGTTCGTGCTTAAAATTTCTTTAAAAAGAAATAATATTTTTTTTATAAAAAGTGAAAAAAAATCAATAATAAATATAAAAAAGGTGTGAATATCAAGCATAAAAATAAGTTAGAGAGAATGAAAGCAGGAAGAAAACTCAGGTAGATTTTTTTATTATATCTCTCAATAGAATCATGTACAAGTACTTGTACTAATGTAAAAGGTAGAAAAATAATTAAAAGAGAAAAATGGTTTTAACAATGGGCTAACAAAATAATAAAAATATTTTTAAGATTTCCTAATATATATGAACTATTCTAACTTCAAAACATGATAATTGAAGATGAATATTGATAAAACTTTTGTTAAGTTATCATCAAGTTTAATATTGGAAGAGATTGAAAATAACTTTATTAGTTTATTATTGACTTTTTCTTTAATAATATGACAATTTATCTTTATGTGTTGTGTTTTTTTATGTAGAATATGATTCGAGATGATTTGAACTGCACATCTATTATCATAATATAATGTCGGATGAATATAATTTATCTTTAAGTCATCAAGAAGATATGTGAATCATTATAACTCAAACAAGAGTGAAGACACAATATTTAGCTTCAATAAAACTTCTCGGGACAGTTTGCTGCTTCTTTGATTTTCATGATATGGGTGAATTTTTAAGATATGTTATGTATTTATTAGTGAATTTTCAAGTGTCAAGGTAACTAGCACAATCAGAGTCACGACAAACTTTGAGTTAAATATCACTATCCGTAATAAGAAATATACCTTTTTCTGGAGAGTGTTTGAGGTATTGAAGGATTCTCATAGCAACTTGATGATAAAAAGTTATAGGAGTATAAACATGTTGACTAAGACGGTGTACAAGTAATATCAAATCTTAAATGAGTCTTCCTGTAAATATGGTAAAGAATCGTCTAAAGGAATCCCTTTTATGTGTGTATAGTTTTTGCTTAATGATTTGTCGGTGTTTTAACAGGGGCACAATATATCCTACCAATATCTTCAAGAAGATAAAGAATATACTTTCGTCGACTTAAGTGAATTCTAGTTTTATTTCTTGTGACTTCTAATCCTAAAAAATATGTTAAATTTATGAGATTCTTAATTTTGAAAGTCTTATTGAGCAAATCAGTAATCCTATCAATTTATACAATTCTCCAACCAATATGATATCATCTGCATAAATCAGGATTATGATTTTGCTATTACCTGTACGATTAAAGAATAAAAAGTAGTCCATTAAAGAGTGAACATATTTGTGTGATAAAAGAAAGCAAAAACTTTTTTCATACCATTGTCTATTGGCTTGACCTAAACCATGCAATGAATTCATGCAGTTTACATACCTGATTCTTGGCAATGCCTACCATACTAGGAGGAATGCTTATGTACACATCTTCATGCAAATCTCCATGTAAGAAGACATTGTCAATGTCTAGTTATTTAGATGTCAACCATTTATGACTGTCATAGATAAAAGTATTCTAATAGTGGTGAGTTTGGTAACAACGGAAAAAGTGTCAAGAAAATCAAGACCTTCAAGTTGAGAATATCCTTTGACAACGAGTCTGACCTTATATCTATCTATCGTTCCATCATTTTGTACTTGATTTTATATACCCACCTACATTCAATGAAGGTTTTGTTTTGAGAGAGTGAAATGAGTGTCCATGTATTGTTGTTTTCAAGAGCATATATGTCTCTGTCATTTCTTTTCTCCAATGTTTATGTTTGCGAGCTTCTTCATATATTTCGGGTTCTTTAGTTGCATCGATGCTGAAAATAGCCTACTTAAAAGAAGATGACAAATTATTATAAGTAATAAATTTTCCAATGGGATATTTCTAACCTCTGTGACTTTTTAATGCTACAGAATTTTGAGCTACATAATAGTCTCTTAAATGAACAGGGGGAATACATGACACAAGTGGTCTTTCTTAAGACAAGATCAAGTGAAGTACCAATGTCTTGTGTTTCAATGAGAAGATTTTGTGTAGTGATGACTGATTGAGTCAAAGAAAGATATATTGGAGTTCCATTGTCTTCAGTCTCTTGTATACCAATGGTTTTATCACAGGTAGTGACACTAGTGCAAAAAGGGGCTTTTACGTCAGATATTTAGGGCTTTTTACGTCGTATTTAAGTCCGACATTAAAGCGGGAGACGTAAATTTACGTCGGACCCTTTTGCCCGACGTAGATTTACGTCAGTTATCAAGATCCGACGTAGATTTACAATAAACAGACGTAAAAACCTTTTCAATTTAAAAAAAAAAAACAAAAAATTTACGTCGCATATACCAATATGCGACGTAAATTTACTGTTTTTTTTTTTAAATTGGGTTTATTTATTTTGTTTTACAACTAAAACCTGCAAATAGTAATCCAGACAGTCCAGAGGTTCAGTTTTCTTTAGCTAGTAAATTAAAAATATAATATTATATAATTCAAACTACATAATAAAACAATATAATACAAACATACAAACTAAAAAATCTATTACAAACTAAGCTACCTATACAAACTAAGCTACCTATACAAACTAAGCTAAACTACATAATACACACAATATAATATGAACAAGAACTTAAAAAATAATGTACTAGAATTGTTGAACAAAAAATTTTGCCCATTGTTCTCTAATTTCTGTAATCTCAGATTCTCGTAATGGAGATGGATCTTGAAATACCTGAAACATGAATTTGACTCTTGTAAGCATGCAACATGAATAAAGTTAAATAAACTTAACTAATGTTAAAAGTAATTACCTCCGTCCAAGAATCAATTAAACCCACACAAACTATGGCTCTCATCCAATACATTACATAATAACCACATTCAAACGAGTCGGTTTGCTTATTACACTGAAATGATGAAAAAAACATAATATTATTTTCAAAATTGAAATACAAACAATAATTATGGTATTCACTTATATAAATAAGTTTCTAACCTTAGGATAAATGAACTGCAAAGTCTTTGTTCTAGGTTTTCCACTTAGAACATTAGTTCCGGACACGATTCTAAGTGAAAAAAGTCATATATTATTCAATATGTATTCACAATTTAAAAACATAATTAATGAATAAAAGATAAAGTTACCCTTGTAATAAGCTTTTCATTTCTTGACTCGGTTTCCGATGTAATGAACAAAACCACACCACAAGTGTAATCCCGGGCATGATTACAATTAACTGCCAATGGGACCTACATTGTATGACATAAAAATTAGTTACAAAAATATAAATTAAAATACAAATTAAAATACTAACCCTTTAATGTATGGAGCCAAATATATATGTCTTCTTGAGTCACTCATCCATGTTTGCATATATTGTTGGATTCCATGATAATAGGTTGATCATAATAATTTTCTACGTTTTTATCAAAAGTGGTCCAAAGAGACAATGATATAATATAATTTTTTTAGAATTTTCAAGGTATGAAAAATGTTTCTCATAGAATATTGCATTTCTTGAAACAGTTATATGATGTGTTTTTAAATTAAAAATTAAGTATCCCTTTGTCTTATTTTTAAATACTGGATATATACCAAGGTCAACCTTGGGATCAATTTTCTTTCTATTAGTAGCAACGGTACTAAGATAACAAAGGCATTCAAATATCCTAATACTAGATATGTCATATGGTATAGCGTATAGTTTTTTAAAAGGTGAAATATTATCGAGATAAGATGTAGGAATGCAATTAATAAAAAATATTAAGTTAATTTGGACAAAGATAAAAGGGTCCGAATGACATTCACACTGTGTTGATGTTTTCTTTCAACAATTTCAATTTGCTTAGGTGTTTCAATATAGATAATTTGATGTATAATTCCTTTGAGATTGTAGTATTCTTTATATTGAACTCATATCCATTGTTAGACTTAATGCATTTGATAGTTTTTTGGAATTGATTTTAAGTGTATACACTGAAGTTTATAATATAATTGTGTGCATAAGATTTTAGTTCTATAAGAAAAATCCACGTGAATCGTGTGTGACCATCAACAATGGTGAGAAAATATTTGTGATGAATGGAAGTGTAGGAATAAGGTTACCATATATCAATGTAAATAAGATCAAAACATTAATTAGCATAAGAATGTATTATGTGAAAAAGTTTCTTCTATTTAGTAATATGACAGGTCTCACAAACTAAATTTTTACTAGTGTGTATCTAATGATAATGTTTCTTCATTACATCCATTGTTTCAATAGATAAATGACCAAATTTAGCATATCAAAGGTCAATGTTATTATTGGAATTACCATTTGTATTCACATAATGTGATAGTTTCTTAAGTATATACATATCATCTTTAACTTTAACTATACTAATCTTCTTGACATAATGTATAATACATGAATTATGACAGAAAAATAGTTTATAATTATGATTTATCATAAGTTTTGACACAGATTGTCTTGTGAGAAATGTTGGTATAAATAACATATCTATGAGAAATTTTTTATCATTGGCTACCATTAGGAGGATTTATAATTAAAGAATTGATAAATGCATATGAAAAAAATTTTGATAGAGAAGAATATACATGATCAGTAGCTCCAAAATCAATGGTTCATGTTATGTATTCAATTATTCGTGTTAAAATTAATGATAGAGTGACAATTACCTTGAGTCTAATAATTGAGAGTTAGACAAGTGAATTTACAGAGTGGTTGTGTTGTCGATTTAAGCAGAGTTAGACTCTATTAGATTGTTGTATAAACATATAAGTATCATAAGAGCTTGATATTATTGTTGATTTAATTTGACATATTGAGTATCTAATATAAAACATTGTTGATAGTGTTATTTCTCTCATTGTGCAGTTTATGTCCAAGTGGGTACCCATATTTCTTGTAACAGATATCAATAGTGTGGTCATTTCTTCCACAATAAATGCAAAGTTTCTTGTTTTGGTTATTCTTGTTATTTTGATTGATAGGAAATTCATGTTTTCTATAACATACATTTTCGGTATGACTAACCCGTCCACAAAATTTGCAAGAAGTGAAGTTGTTAGATAGGACAACATTGATTTTAAGATCACAATTTACTGTATTATTTTCAATAATTTATTTTTCCTGTTGGACTACATATGAGAATACTTTCGATAAAGAACGTATTGAATCCATGAGAAGAACATGAAAATTGACATTGTTGTATTGTTCTTTCAAACCTCTCAATGACTTAATGTTCTCTTCTACATTGTTGTATGATTAGAAGAACATTTTGCTAAACATATATAGGTAGGATCAAGAATTGGAGAGACTAAACTTATCGTGGGGTTTTCATTTGGATGTATAAACAAAAATATGTTTGTAGAAGATGATGAATCCATGTTCAAGGAAATAATTTATGCTTCTAGCAAATAAATATGTTAATTTTTCCATGAGATTTAAGATGAAAACAAGAAGAGAAAAAATTCAAGAAAAGATAGTCAAAACACATAACAAAGTTCTTCAATTGAAGAACTCTGATACCATATCATAGTAAATATTGAACACATATAATCGAGCCAAGTGTGTCGATAAAATATCAAACACATGAATCAAAGAGCATGAAAAAAGGGTAGAAAGAGGAAGAAAAGTAAGCAAAATGAACTTTTTTTTTTAATATCTCTCAATTGAACAATGTAGAAGTATTTATAGTGATGCATCAAAAAAAGAAAAAATAAACAAGAAAAATGGTTTTAAAAATATATTTTAAGAGTCATTAATCTTCAAATAAGGTTTATTTTCTATATTTTATAGTTTTATAAATGTATAAGTTCTTTATTAATTAAAATTAATACTTAGTGACTAAATTGATCCTTAAAATCAAACAATGATAATAAATACGTGAGTTAAGAAATGAGAGTATATATAAACTATTATTAATCTCAACTTTTAAGTGACATGAATGCTTATGTTTTGTCTAAAAATAAAAGTGTCCCATCTCAATGTTCAATTTTGACATTATTAAGGTCAATTATTACATTTGAGATGTTGGTTACTTTGAAAGTCCAATCAATTACAATTTTATCCTTAAAAAATATATAGATGGATTAAAAATTAAGAATATTTATAAATTATCTTAACTTCGATTCCTAATTTATACGATATTGATAATCATACCTAAACCCTTATCATGATTATCACACACTATATTTTAATTACAAAGAAAATAAAAAAAATATTTTAGAAACTATTTATAAGAAAATTATTAAGATATTCCTAATAACCATAAAAAGCGGAAAGATCCTTTCAAGGGTGTGGATACTCAAACTCGGATCCAAATATCTCTTAGCACTCTTGGAGTTAAAAAATGTTAATAATAAATAATATTTTTCTACGTAAATTTGAAATTTTTTGACATAGTTACATTAATATAATGTTTATCATTTATATTTTTTGATAAATAAAATATTTTTGCATGTTTGATAAGTGATTCAACTACGCTAAAATAATAACCACTCTCATAAACTAAAAGTTCGCTGAAGCTTCAATTAGTACCCAAAAATTATTGTAATACAATTAGGTACCCCGTGTATAGAGAAAGTTTCACATCATTATTAACTTTTATCAATTACATTTTTTTTCTTTGCTACAACTTGTTTTTGTTTTTATCTTTTAATAAATAGAATCACCCATAGAATTTTGTTCTCAAAATTAGTAATGTAAAGTTAAATTTATCTCTATTCTTTGGTAGTATTATTTTTTGTTGTATTCAATGTTTATATGAGATTGATATTTGTCACTATTTAATTAATATGTGGTTGATATTGAAAATATTTTTTTAACATAAATTTTTAAAAGAATATCTAATTAAAAATATAATGTCGAAATATATTGATTTTAATTAGACATCTAAATTATAAATTGTTTATTTAATTAAAATTGTCATGAAATTAATATAAAAATGAGAATTTAGGTTTAATTACTTAAGTAATTAAAATCTGAATAATGAAATAAAACAATGATATATAAATTAAGCAAAATTAGATAAATTATTGGAATTGTTTGCATAAGGGTGGTTAAAAAGAAAAAAACTTAAATTCTTAATAGTCTAAATCTTATAATTATACACACTTCAATCACTCACCTACTTCCGAAATTTTATCTATTTATTCGTATTTCTTATATTTTTATCATTCATAATTATATTTATATTTTTTTTATTTAATTTATTTAAGTATTAAATATATTATTCGTCTTTGTAATTTATAAAAATATTTTTATATTTTAAAATTTAACAAATGAATCTTTAAAAAAATAATTTGATCATTTTATCAATTTTGTAACACAACAAATTTTATTAAATATAAAATTTAGGTATAAGTAATGATTATAATGACGTTAATTTTACTAAGGTGAAACATTATAATTAAGTGTTAAATTTAAATATAAAAAATAAAAAAAATGTTAAGTTAAAGGATCAAATTAATAAATTTGAAAGTATAAGATTAAAAATAAAATTTAAGAAAATACAATAACAGAAAATATACTGTTCCCGTAATTTATTTATTTTTTATTCTGTTTATCTTTATCTTTTTAGATATTTTTTTCTCTTTTTTTTTCATTTTTAATCTCTTTATTCTTATTTTTATCTTTTTGCTATTGATTTTATTCTAGTCTCACTATATTGCCCAAAATATTATTTCTCAAGCCTCTATAATTATTCCCACAATTAGAAGTTGATTACGTTGGAATTGATTGATAAAAATGATTAAATTGACACTTTTTGAATGCTTTAATCTAAGTTGTACAACTTGAATATTTCCTGATATAGATTGCCCAAGATGCTTCCTCACAATAAACAAATTTCAATAGTGAGGAAACAACAAATTTTCTTAAGAAGCTTAAACAAATATTGAACAAAGTGTTTAGAAGTTGAATTTTTTTATCGAATTGTCAACAGGATGATTTTAAAACATTATCAAATGCTAGTTATCTAATAAAAAATTATAAAGTTACATCATAAGATTAATTAATCCATTTTTATTTGAAAATTTCCAATTTCAATAATAACTTAAAAAAAAACAGTGTGTTTCATTGCTAAAATATTAAACTAGCCGAAAAAATGTGTTTTTGAAAGAAAAATGAAATCAGAAACTAGACAGGGTAAACACCAGGTGCAAGAACAAAAAATATTATAAGAGATCTTCATTGATGCTACTTTACATACACACTAAAAAAAACTCTTTAAATCTATAATTAATTTAGTTAAAAATTGTATTTCAAACAGTTAAAATTTATGTTAAATTTCACATTGCGACAGATTGGTATTTCAAATTGAATAAAATACATTAAAATCTTCTGAAAATATTAAAGTCGTATATCTTGAAATAAGATTTTATCTTTATGCAAACAGAATGATTTGATCTATTTCACTTAAATTATATACGAAATTGATCCACCCCACCGGAACCAAACTACATTTTATGTAGATCACTGGAATTGATTTAGATGATAAATGGTGTAGTGACCAAAAAAGAGAATGTTCGTGAAGGTATATTAATCCTCATCCTTTCAAATCCTTGACCACCAAGAACCCAAAATCAATGGTCCGGTTGACCTAGCACCACACGGAAATCAAATTTTAATCCGAAACACAGAGAAACACAAACGAACGGCCTCGATCGAATCACATCTGTTCGAAATCGTGAAAACGAACGGCGGAGCGGCAGTTAAAAAAAACGAGGTGTTTAACCCGGGAAAAAAGGAAAAAAAATTACTTAAGGGGAGAAAAAAAAAAGAGGTAAGTATAAGCAGGCACCCCCGCAGCGCAGGTTAGCGTGTAGCCTAGAAGGCGAACCCGAACGTTAAAACCGCCTCGCTTCGTTCTTTTCTTTGTTTCTGACTTATAATAAAGAGCTTGCGTTTCCCGGCGAGTATGCTACGAGGCGAAAGTCGCGAAAGTGCGAAACCCAAACCAAGAGCTTGTGCCTTTCTCGTGGGTTCAATTTCTCAGCTTCGGAACTTCTCGCTTGGGCTCTGCTGAAGAAGAATAAGAAGGAAAGCAATACACTTGTCGCTGGTGTTTTTTTTTTTTGGGTTGTGTTTGGATTAAATGGTGTTTACGTGTTCGGAGGAAGGAGAGAGCATGGCCATGGGACCCGAGAGATCGAAGCCTCTTCACAATTTCATGTTGCCCTATTTGAAGTGGGGGAGTCAGCGCCACCTCCGCTGCACCAAACTCGCCTCCGACTCCTCCACCGACGTCGGAGATCGCCGATCTCCGGCGGCTCGAGAATTCGACCACCCGCCTCCGGGGAATGCCGACGCGCGACCGCGTCTCAAGCGGCCGCGATTCCTCGGTGATGAGGGGATCGACGCCGTCAGGGAGAAGCTCATGCTCGATCTCAAAACCGAGGCCGATAGGATGAAGGACGCGATTCTTGGCAAGGAGGTCGCACAGGACAATGATGTTATCATGGAGGAGGCGCCGCCGGTTGCGGTTGAGGAGGAGGCGCCGCCGTCGGACCCCGGAGTGAGGACGTGGAATCTGCGGACTCGGAGGGCTCCCGTGGCGGTCAGGATTGACGAGAAGAAGGCTGGGGTCGGAACGTCGTCTTCGCCGTTGAGGAGTCTCGCCGGCGCCGGAAAGTCGCCGAAATTAAGAGCGTCACCGGAGAAAGAGGAGCAGCCGGTGAAGTTTTCTCTAACGCTGACGAAGAAGGAGATTGAGGAAGATTTCATGAATTTGGTGGGCCACCGGCCTCCCCGCCGGCCTAAGAAGCGGCCCAGAAACGCTCAGAAGCAATTGGACGTAAGCTGATTGATTCATTATATTATGTTATTTCATATCATTCCGTGAACCCTTTCGATTGTATTATGTTGTCAGTGACGGAAATGATAATTATAAAGAAAAAACAATTCTTGAATTTGGTTTTTGTTGTGCAGACCCTTTTCCCTGGTCAGTGGTTGTCGGAGGTTAGTGCTGATTGCTACAAGGTTCCCGATGAAGCTGAGACTGGCAAGGTATGTATAAATTTTACACAATTTTACCAGAGTTTTTTCTGTTTGTGCTTTCTTCAATAACTTGGTTCGTTCTATTGATTGGATTGTGATTTGTGTGTGGGGTTTGGTTTGGCAGAGGTAGCGTTGAGGTTGGCGAAAGGCATTTTGTTGTTGGCTGCGGAGGATGCATATGAGGCTGATGGGGGATTTCATGGATGGATGGATTTGGTGGTATTTCCCAGGAGCAGTTGATGCTTGCCTTTGTTGATTTCAATGTTCCTTTTCAACTTCAGAAATATAGTTTCATTCTTTTGTTTATAGAATAATACTCTGAACAGTGATGATTGTTCCAAATCACATATGGTTTACTACTTTGCTTTTGAGGCTGTATGTAGCTTCAAGGGTGAAGTTATACTGTTGGAACTTTAAACTTTATTTTTAAATTCTAGATTATGGAGCTTATTTTCTGAGATTGTAGTTTACTGAATCTCTTTGTGATTGGTTTGGTTCATTCTGTTTGAATTGTCAGTGCTTGTGGGATTGGAATGGATTCTGAGCCACAATGTTTCTCCTTATTAATGTATTAATGCTTTTTCTCCTTTCCGTTGTGTATGTTTGGGATATGGTGCTGGTTTGGCACAAATCATGGGATGGAGTCATAGTTTATGTAGTAATGTATGTAGTTTCCTCTGTAACAAGAGAGCTATAAATAGTGGAACTTTAACTACGAATGCAGTTCTATTTGGTGCTATTCTATCCAGAAGATAGTCAGCTGCTACTGTTTATCCATTGCAGAAGCTAAAATGCAGGTCGATCCAACATCCAAATGGCGCGAAGAAAACCCCCCAGCATATTTAACATGTGATGAATAACGGCTAATCATTTAAAACCATGCAACAGATCTCTAATATGTCTCTTCAAACATTTCATAAATCGGCCCTCACATTCATAAATGCATTTACTGCAAAATGATAAGTCAACTAGCTATGCAAGCCACGGATTCAGCACATATTTTGGCTAATGCTTCACCTGTTGACTTTTTTCACTGAGTTAAAGATTGTGCAGATGAACCTCTCTGCTCTTCATATGTACCAATGAAGATAACCTTCCAGTCACACCGTTAGAGTTTAAAACTGCAAAGCAGAGATAATATTCCTAGGGTTCCACCACCACACTTCCATTACCACAGTTCTCCATTATCTTCGGTAATTATAAAGAAATCTATTTGTTTAGAAGTCGTGTACCATTGATTCTGATATAATTGAATTAATTTTTTACATCACCGGGAAGTACTTTATTTCAGTCATAATGTTTACTTTAGTAAGAAAAACTATTTTTTAGTGTTTTGCCACACCGACACTAAATCACAAGGATGAACTTGTACACAAGTGCATATTCTGATTTATTAAAATACTGTTCCATTGGTATATATATATTTATCATTTAAAAACCTTGCGCCTCTTCTGTTAACTGGGGTTGAAAATACTTTGGAAGTCAACCCTCCCCAATCAGTCTTTTGCATGATCCTACATTGGTGTTGGAATGGCAATCTTGTCCATAAAGTTGTTATTTACAAAAAGACGCGTTATGAAGTACGGTGACTTGTGAGTATGCTGAAGCGTACATGGCCCATAAAGCCTACATGGTGGCCCAGTTATCATGCTTCTGTTCAACTTCCTCAGAGTCATACTTTTTCATGTGTGCCCTCAACTCGACTTAAAGATTTTTCGAAGACGGTGGCAACGTCTTTATGCAGTGGGATCAAAGAGGGTTAGGTGAAGAGTAAGCAATCTTTATGTGCATGCATGTAGAAACCAAAAATGATCCTTAATGTTGTAAAAACCACATTTTTTGTGTTAAGGTTGAATGCGTTGAGTATATGAATTTTATAATTTTCAAAATGATAAATTGTTACATCATGGGAGAAAGAGAGAGAATATGTAGTAGAATTATTGACGTCATAAAGAAATATAAATAAGTAATAATTATAAAGTATTGTAAATATATTAATACAACATTAATTTTTAAACAAGCCATGGGCAACAATAAATAAATATACTTTTTTCTATCTATTTTGTTGGAACTGTAATTTTCTTTTTTTTTCCATTTTAATATAAAGACATCTGATCTATTTTTTTAGAAATTTCACAAATTTAACTTAACTCTCAATTTTGTCCACATGTTTTTACATCTCAAATAATTAAAATTTAAATCAGTATCTTGAGTTTAAGATTTGATTTGAATCAAAATAAAAGAAATAAAATATATAACAAATTGAAAATTATATTAATTTTGTAAATTTTCTAAAATAGAAAGACCGGATGTTTTTATTTTAATTAAAATTGTGAATTGAACAAAATGATGAAACTAAAACTATATTTAAGTCAAAAAGGAAATTATACGTGGACGCTTGGAATGAGAAAGAGAGAGAATAAATAAAAAATTAGGGATGATATATAATATTGAATATACGAGTCTTTATATATATTATTAATATTACTGGGCTCTTTTAACAAATGCACACCTCAGTTTGCTTTTAGTTCAAGACAGTTTATTATTTTATTTTATTTTAACTTCCCTCAAAATGTCTACTTGCAAGTTTAAGGAAAATTGACGCAAACACGGATTAAATCTGATTTGATTCTGTTCAGGCAAATTTTAAAAGGTAAAATGAGAGGGGTTTGTAATTTTAAAAATTATAATAAAATAAATTTTAAAATACACAATATGTAATAAATTACGAAATTAATTTTTAAATTAACAATACCATTCTGTGTTTTATTTATTCTTTAGTATATATCCTTCACTCTAGGAAAAAAAAAACTAAAGGAATGCAACTATGTATATGACAGATTCTTGATTAAATTCCTAACACTTTTCAAATTATGTTTGATTTAAACTTTTTTAAGCACATGATGTTCACTAACAATAGTTGCATTTTATTTAATAAGAAAGAAAATATTTGAAGAAACGTCAAAATGCGTAAAAGATGTGATAAGGTGCATTTTATAGGAAGTATCCAAAACAAACACGTTGTGAATTCTCGCTATCTTCAGATGATATTAATCATCAATATAGTGTTGAATAAAAATCAACGTGAAGATTTGCTAAAAACAAATATAAGTCTTCGCAAACTTAAACTTTTTAAAGACATTTGAAAATGCTAAATTTATCAATTCAATATTGGATTAAACTTATTTTTCATTTTAAATAAAAAATTATATATTTTGGTCCCATCTTTTACAAATTAAAATTATAACTGATATAATTTAATTTAAGATTACAATTCAAAATAAATATTTAAAAATCAAACTCGAAATTAAAAATATAATCCTGCATTTTATTAAATAAGATAAAGTTGATAAAATGAATCTAATGTATTTGTATCTATTAATGGGAAAATCGATAAAGGGATCGAAAAACGAAGGAAAGAAAAATCGAAAACCATACGATTGGTAAGAGATATCGAGAACGCAATTTCGATGAAATTGGTAAAAGCTGGTAACCACAAAGATAAAAGTACATCGAGAATCAAAATCGAGAATCGAAAAAATAACTTTCGATGCCTATTGTTGAAGTTAGAATAGTACAAAATTAAAATCAATAGCAAAATTTCAAATACTCGATGTCTGAAATCGAAATCGAGGGAGCGGTTAACACACAGGGAACGTGGGAAACAGTTTTCAAACCGCGACAGAAATCGAAGGAGGAGCAGTTCCTTTATACGAAAGAACGTGAAGTGCATTTTTAAAACGGTGAGACTAAAGGAACGGACACGTAAGATCGTGGTGATAGTGGTATTAACCGCTCTTAGGAGGTCACTTGAAGGATGCTCTATAAATAGAGCGAAGATTGGAAAGGAGGGGGGAATTGGCAGAGAGAACAGAAATACTAGTGAGAAATCTACAGGAGAACGACGCAATCATGAAGTTTCTGGCGATCTAGATTTCCATTTTCATTGATTGCCTTTATCGCTTTCTTTATTTTCCCTGGTAATTTATGTTCACGTTATTTACTTTGATGCAGTTTATGTTCAAGCAACTTTAAGTTCATGTACTTTCGATTCCTTGTTATCTGACTATTTAAGATTATGCATCTAAGTTTTTCGCTATTTACACTTTATGCAATCTCGATTTCCTGCAATTTACATTCTCGCAATTTCGATTCTTTGTCGTTTACACTTAATGCAAATTTGAGGTTTCTGTATTTTACATTTCTTCGCAGCTTTATATTTTGTACTGCTCTTCGATTTGACATTTTATTGCTTTCTTTACTTCGAGTGCTTTAAATACAAAATACCAAAAAATAATATTTTCGATTATTAATCTACGCATTAGATTGCGTTGTTAGTATTTTCAAACATCATGGTTTTCGATTCTCATACACATTTCGATTGAAAATCGTTTGCTAGCCTAAGTAAAAATAATCTACGTGGTCGAAATTTGGTTAGAACAAAATCCGTTAAAAATCGAAATCGATCAAAATTCCACCAGAAACAGTTTCATGTAAAAGTACGTAGAATCACAAATGGTTCCTTACCTTTTGTGAGGTAACAAGTCATTTTTCTCCATCATAGATGATCCTTTTCAAATACAGAACACAGCATATGCAGGGTAACCAATATGTAAATAAGATGAAACTTTCATTAATCTTATAAATGTGCGCTGAACATTTGAAAAAAAAAAAAATCATTAAACCATTTTGTTACTTGGTATTGATTTGGTCGGATAAATCATGGATTTAATATATTACATTGTGTAATTAATTATTTATATGATGCTAATGTAAATTCACAAAGGTTAACTTATTAATATATACTAAAGAGAGTCAACCAAGCAATAATTAGTCAATAAATTTAATTTTTTTAATACAATGTTTGACTAAGACCAAGCATAATAAGACAAAATAATATTTATGAAACGTATCCATATTTTGACTAAGTTTAAATTATCAAATAAAGTAACTTTGATAATGTTTATTAAAAAATAAAATAAAATTATCCAGGCACTATCCGAGTTTAATATTTGGCAGACACAACCATTGTCCAATCTTTATTTATATGTGACAAATTAGTTTGAAATGAAATTTTAAAATATTTGTAGGCTATGTCTATAAAAAACAAAAGAAATTAATTTCCCTAACAGATTTTTTGACATCAACATATGTTTGGTAGAATTTAATTAGAAAAATATAAAAATATTTAATATCTTCCCATTATGTGACACACAAAAATTATTAAGAGTTCACACTTTTTATCATATTATTTACTTGTTTATTTTTTTCTCACCCACTATTCTTTATTTTTTTTTTCTCAGTCAAAGTGTAGAAACGAGGTTGATGCATCTTCAATTTCAAATTTGAAAATTTTCACATGCTTCAAATTTCATTTAAGTCTCAGAACTATTTAATGGCGCAAAAGAAGGGAGAGATGAACGTAAGGAGATGGAAGATGATAGAAAGAACGGTGAAGATTTATCGGGTGAGGAAATTTCACATGAGATCGAGTAGAATGAGCTTTTCCCCGTATTATGATATAATTTTAAAATATATAAATTATGATACTCAGTCCATTTTGTTTTTTTATTTATTTATTGAAATTATGATCATAAAATATAGTTTTGAATATTTTTTTATTGAAAGAATAACTTTTTTTGTGCGGGTTGATCAATACGTTTGATAAATTTTATTCTATTGGTCTTTTACTTTTATTTCATCGTATTAAATCATTTATTATAAAAGATATGTGTGTGTTATTTTGCCTGACATACTAATTTTTTTTAATTCGTATATCTTTTTATTGTTTTTTTAGAATGAGTAACGTGGTTTAAAATCATGCTGCACGGCATAGAATTATTTTCCCACATTACAAGAGATAATAATTATAGTTAAAATTGTTTTTTTTTGGATTTTTCTAAATTTCCCATCTGATAAAATTGGTTACCGATTTACAACGTAGAAGATTTTTTTAATGCACCGTTTATTTTAAAATTTTCAGATCGGGATAGAACTATTTATTAAAAAATTAATTATTCTGAAATCTAAATGACAAAAAAAATCACTCATAGGGTAGAAGTGATTTCAATAATTAAATGTAAGGATTTTCACAAAGTGGTGTATTAATCATGCAACTTGAATAATCAACCAAATAAATATATTAATCTGAACTTACTTTTAAAATACCATTTTTCATCTAAATAACATTTTGAAAACTAATTATACCAACAAAACCAATTAAAAGAATACAATACAAGCGAAACTTATATTTAGTTTTTTTAAAAGCGAGTCAAGCATATATAAATAGTGTTCTCTCCAATAAACTTTAGTATTATTAGATAATGGTTTAGTGACAAAAGTTGAGCATTTCATTGCAAAATGAATATCTCGCATCGTACTTTATGAAAAGACGTGTAGTAATCCTAGATAAGATAGAGCTAGCAAAAACCTTGAGCTTAAAGGTCGTTCAAAATTGTAAGGAGATAAATGAAGAGGTTGATGATATCGCCATAGATGGCAATAGCAGCCCAAATGTAATCGTCGTAGGTATATCTTTTGATGAGATCATCAGTGTCATATACGATGAAACCACACATTATCAGTGCACCAATCCCAGCAATGAACATGCGCCCCGTTGGTCCCAGAGGGAAAAAGATCTGTGGCATCACACAAACGCTCAACATCAGAAACTAAATCACCATCTAAGATCAAATATTAGAGGAAATGAAAGTTACTGGTGATGGAATGTTTACTTGGATGATTGAGAACAATAACATGACCATAAGGGAAGCAAAGAGGAATGGTCCCAGGAAACTGAAATCACTGCCTCTTTTAACAGCCCAAAATGTGTACATCGTCAGGCTCGCAGTCACCGCACCTGTCAGTAATGCAGCCTCCAGGACAATCATTGCTGTTGTCCGTACGTGCACACAACAAAACTCTCACATTATTGTGAATCAAAACTGGTAGCATAAATGTGAAATGATATTTATGCATGCATCAAGAAGAATGAAATGCAGAGGAAGAAGAAGAAGAAGAAGAAGATTGGAAAGGGATACCGTCCACAAAAGCACAAGTGAATCCCACTGTGACGGACATGCCGAGGGTATAGAGACCAAGAAGAATGAGGTTGATCGGGTGTTTATTGTAACACTGGCTCAGGATAAACAAAACTGCATGCAGATTGAAGAAGCAATTGATTAATTATAATGAAAAGTAAAGGGCACAGATAGAGGAGGAGAGAGAGGTTGATTACGTATGATGGAGAAAATGGCGGCTCCAAAGAAAAGGAAGAGACTATAGTTATTATAGCGAGCGAAATTCCTTGCTGGTGTGAAGAAGATGAAGATGGAGGCAAATGCAGCTGTGAAAAGCAGCTGAACGGAAATAATGACGTAGACTTTTCGTATGAATCCCCATCGCAGCTCGGGTGACTCTATCATGTATGGATAGAGGTCGTTGCCTCCATGGGAGAATCCGGATTCAATGTCACCCTTACCCATTTCGTTTACCAAATGGAATTCTCAATGGGTTCAGATGATCGAGATTCAATTGTTGCTGCTCCTTTTGGTTTAAACCCAACCCCCTATTGCAACGCACGCATATATATATCGAATTCGCGTGCCTTAATTCTTGGTCTGCTTTAGTCCTACATTTATAGCATTTCCTCGCTGTCTTCAAACCATATACACATTCCTATACTATTAATTAACGACCATTGCTATTAAAAATAATGTCTAAACTAAAATATACATCACAAATTCACGCAATTTGGCAAATTCCCCCACTGCTCCTAATCCTATGCCATACCGCTGCTCTTATCTACCAAATATCTATTTTAATTAATATAAATTAAACATGCTTTAGTATATTTATATATAAATAAATTAAATATAATATCTTCTCCTTCTCTCTAAACACCACCCCTCTTCCTGCTGGTATTTGATTTTTCTTTTCTCCATATATATTTCACAAAAATATCAAAATTTGTGAGTTTTTGTAAAACTTTATTAAGATAAAAACTTGTAAAAATGACATAACATTATGAGATCTAAGTAAAATAAAGTAAAACTCCTTTTTTTTTTTTTTAAGATTTTTGTAATTTTTGTTTAAAACTACTATCCACACTATATATTTAGAATTCGCAATCTCAAAGAGTTGCAAAAATAAATGGAAAACTATTCATTTTTTTCAAACTTCATTATATTTATTATGAATTTATGAGGGGGGACTTCGATTTTATTAAAAGACTGGGCTCGATTAAAAAATATTATGATTATGAAACAACGAAACATAATTTCATCAACCAGGAAACAAAATTATTATTATTATTTTATTGTTTAAATACAACAATTTCAACTTTCAAATATAGGAAAGCCTAATTTAAGAAGGATGAGTAATAATCCTCTTGGTACATTTGCTTAAATAACGTCGTATTAGTTGTGAAAGGATTCGGGCTTCAAACTTGAAATCAGAGAGAACAGTTTGGGTCAATGGGACCTCTCTGCTTGGAGAGTTGTTAGATTGTGCTGAGCAAGCTATTGAGTTTTGTAGTTTCTCTGGACCAATAATAACCCCTTTTATATTCTTTTTATTCTACCGCATAATCCATGGCACGATGACGACCATTGTTGATGATCCAAAATTTCCTTTGATAATGAAACTGGATAATCCATAACAAAAATCTTTCTTTTTAAGATAATCATATCCAATACAGTCTGGTATTAAATGGGAATTGAATCTAAGAGATAAAAACAATAAAAACAAAGACCCAACTTTGCTTGGAACACATTTTCCATTATCTTGATGTTTCCTTGCATAAATCAGGGGTTGCTCCCAGAAGAGAAAAAAAATGGTGCATACTGCATAGACGGTATTATTTGATTCTCATCTGTCTCTTTTGCTCCTGACTTCTATTCTGTTATTGTTTGAAATTTGAAGGATGTGGGGGAGGTTTACAAATTACAATTCTGAGTAAAGGGACCTCAGGGAAGTTATATCATGGACCCCACTACCGAGCAAAGAAAAAGGACATAAAACATTTAAATAGTCTAATCTTCTATAAAGTCATTCATTGATGGCTTGTGTATTCAAAGAATGGGCCATCTTGGAAACAAAAACATAGAACTTCACAATATTTGTGAAGTCACATTAATTGGTTAAATTAAGACCGCGAATCCAAAGAATAGGTGATGTTAATAGAGTGGTTAACTGGCCATGACTTATGAACGATTAGCCATGTAAACAAGCGGAAACAAATAAATAAGAAAAGAAGTAACAGTGTGTAGATTGGTGAACTAAGAGATAGATAGAGGGGTATTTTAATCAATGATTTCTTTATCTAACCTATTCTTTTTGACTGGACTGCTTTGTCATGCTGGCACAATAAAACAAAAAGAACAAAATTAGAGGGCCCCATAGAACAGTTGGTTTGGAATATTTTCGAGCATACAGAAAGAAAAATGAACCCCTTCAACAAGTCTTCAATCAGTGTTGAAGTGAACAAGAGCCAGTCACATGTTGTTATCAGCAGAAAATTTAAAAAGGATAGAAGGGGGAAAGGGCATGAGCGAGAGGTCACCAAAGAAGGATTCCTTGTTTATTTGTCTCCTTGGCCCTAAACATAGTGATATGCATGAATTATTTTTGTCCATTTCCATCTCTCAACTGTAGTTTTCACCCTCAAAATACAATTTACTCCCCAATCATAATTTTCTAAATCGCAGTTTTTAATCATTTGGTTCCATTAATTTACATTTAGGTTCCCATGATACTCCATGAACCAAAATCACAGACAGCAGTATAACCCTCTCCAGGATTGGATCATGAATGACAGAATAGATAATGAGTTTATTTTTTTCTATACCTTATCAGTATAATTGTGTTGCACAATTACAACATAATAAATGTAACCTCTTAAGTACTTATTCTAGAATTTAACAACTTTATTGAGCATTCTTAATCGAGTAAGAGTGTAAAAACAATTTTTTTACTCTCGAAAGATATAATATTTACTCGTTAAAATGAACAAAAAAGACGAAAACTACGAATGCCCCTATTTCTTCTTTCTTTTAATCTTTCCATTACAGAACAGGGAACCAAATCCAAAAAATCTGGCAGTGGCTTTGGGAATATATGCTTGTGGTAGATTCAAAACAGGACTTATTCTAACACCGTTACCCGAAGATCCACCGTTTTTCTTTAACGAAGGTTTTTGAGACGAACTATAAAAATAATATGTACTTGAACTCGAAGAGGAAGACGATGACCTTCTGCTTGAAACAGAGGATTGTTTCTGCAGCCTCTGCTTGTGAGTTTCCCTTGGAAGCTCTGTTTGCTTCGGATTCAGGGCCGAGCCGGTTGAGTTGCTTCGTGAAAGGAACTGAAGCGAGCGAATCAAGCCATTCCCACGTGTGGTATCGAAATTCAAACTGCTACTACGCTTGAATTGCCAAAAATACTTGGATGATGGTTTCTCATCTTCGTTCTCTGCTTCGTCAGAGGAAGCGGACAAAAACTCTTTGAGCCTCTTCTTTTGAGTCTTTTCCGTGGTTGCAGGTTGAGATCGAGGAGGTTCTAAAGGTTTATTGGAAACGCTTTTGATCTCCGTTGGGACAATCTTGCCATTGGAGAAAAGTTCATCGGCGGAAGAGAGGTGCTGAGCCAAGCCATTGGTGATGCAGAACACGAAGTCAGAGCTCGCGTCCAAGAGGCACAGGTCTGATCCACGGTGGCGATCTTCGACACGAACGGATGCATCTTCCGTGTTCTTCAGATCGTGGGAAAAGGAGATTCGAGGACTGATTCCCGTGCTGGATATCTCGGAGCACACTTCTATTGCCATTGGGATTTGTTCGGCAGAGGGGAACTCTGTTTCTGGGGAACAGAGAGAGGAAATGATGTTGTCTGGAAATGTTGGGGAAGCCGCGAAAAAGTTTCAAAATTTATGAAATGGGGTGAGGGGGTTGGTTGAAACGGTGATGGGTTTGGAGTCAAAGGGAGTGAAAAAGACACTGAGAGAGAGAGAGAGAGAGAAGTGTGGGAATTATGGGGTTGAGAAGTCAGAAATTGCAGCTTTAGCTTTTGGTCGTGCGTTGTTGTGTTGTGTAGGGTGGGTGTGTGCGAGCTAGGTGCGTCTTCCTAAACTGAAGGCACAATTATGCAGGGTGAGGTAGATTAAATTTAGCATTGTGGTGTTGGATTGCTTGAGATCCTTTTCTTTAAGATGTGTTTAGGGAAGGGTAAAGGGAAAGCAGAGGGAAGAGAGGGAAAGGAGGTGAAACTAATCACCGAAAGGCTATAAAAGGATAACTCTTTTCGGGGGTTTCCGTAGAAGCTTTAGGAACGAGCATCCGGATGGATAGTGTGATGTGAGAGAGTGATGAATTGACATGCACCACGAGATTTTTCATGCGAATGATGGAAGGGAAGAGTATTTTAGGGAGAAATATTACATGCTATGATAAATGCTTATGTGTTAACTGTTGAGAATAACTTTGTCACCGAGATCATTACTTGCAAAGTGGAATCTTTGCTTAGAAAAAGAATAAAACAATCGCTTGGAAAGTTAAGAATAATAAAATGATGAACGTTGCTTATCAATGCAATCCCAATATATTAAAATATGATATTTAATTTCATGTATGCTATTAGCAGGAGAAAGACAATATATGAGATGTAATTCATAATATAACCAACAAAGGTAGAAAGGGAAAAATAATATTCCCTTTATTATTGTAAATCTAAATAATTGTTAATTATTTTGTTATTATCTATGCTTTATCTCATAATTAAATTGATTGCTCAATTTCCTTTTATTATATATATAAGTCATGTAAATGCGAGGTCCCCGTTTTTAACAAGTCGCAGTTTTTTTGTGGAGTCTAATTCTCTTTCATTATCTGAGTTTCACCTTTTTATATTAGTATTGAGTTCTATAAAAGTGAGTGATATTATCTTAAAAGTTAAATAATTTTAATTAATATAAAGAAATTTAGAAATAATATTATGTAAGCATGAATAGTAATTTAACAATACATCGGTAATCCCTTTAAAAAAAGAGTCAACTAATTTTTAATAGCATAAATTCTGTGCAATATTTGCTTTGACAATAAGAAAAGAGGAATATAAATATAATTGCGGTACATTCAAGTAAAAAAATTTATGTGCCATTTTTTTAAAACAATTTCTTGTATAATTTTTGGAAAACGATAATTTTCACAATTCAAATCTATACAACTCCGGTAAACAACTCTCTTTTAATATTATAATAATAATTTTAACTTATTTTTATTTTTATTAAATCATTCGATAAATTATTATATTAATAAAAATGAGTTGTTTAAAATATTGTATGATTTACGATTGTCAAAATATCACCACTCATAATTTTTTTACCGAGTAACATTTTTATTTTCTTTTAGGTTAACAATTTACGCAACACTATGCAATAAATGCTTATTTTTAAACAGTTTTCACTAAAGATTAAACAAAGATAGCAAAA